TTTCCCCGAGGTTAAGCAGTTCTAATGATAATAGGCTGCCAAGAGATTCCGGTACGCTATCGGAAAGTTGATTCCCATATAGTTGTAGAACATTGAGACGGGACAAGTTACCCAGAGTTGATGGTATGCGTCCTTGGAGCCGATTCCCATCTACATAAAGCTTTTGAAGGGAAGAGAACAAACCCAGTTCCTCTGGAATTCTTCCATTGAGATCATTGTAAGACAAATCCAGCTCAACCAAAAATGTTAGGCCACCAATGGATGGAGTCCCATTTAGATCAAGTTTCTGAAGGGAAGAGAGCAAACCCACCTCCTTAGGAATTCCTCCACTAAATTCATTGGATACCAAGATTAACTCAGGCAGGTTCTTTAGCTTTGAGAGCTCTGCAACCATAATGAAATAACCATGCGAAAAGTTTGAGAGCTCAGTAATTACTATCACCTATCACGAAACAACGATGAAGAGAATATGTATAAATCTGTCAACTGAACGGGACTCACCTTTTACGGGCAACACACCAGCAAAGAACCTCAGTTCCAAATGTTGCAGCTGGCTGAGTCTAGTTAAGGAAGAGGCATTCAGCATTACAGAGTTTGTATATCCATTGATCTTCCAAGGTGTCCTATATACTCTGAGACTCACAACATGAGAAGAGGAACTGTGGCAATCTACTCCTTCCCACTCAGAACAATTCAACCCCTTCCATGAATCCATTTGGACCTTCAATGTAGCATTTGGGTTGGAATGAGAAGCTTTGAAATCCAAGAGGGCCACTCTTTCATTTTCTCTACAAAATGGGGAGCCCTCTAAGGCCATGGAGAAATCGAAAAAGCACAGGACAGCAGTGAATGATAATATTGGGATAAGACGCAGAGGGTGGGGAAGAAGGGCTCCTTTTTTAGCTTCCATGGTGCTTCTATTGACTAAACAAGCACGGATGAAATGCTTGCTACAAGCCCTCCTCGCTAGTCCCTTTTATAGGGGGGCAAAATTTCGGGGAATTAGAGAGTATTTCATATTTTTATTGTCCACAAATAATATAATTTGGGTCCACAAATAATATTAGGGGTGTGTTTTGTGTAGAGCCGATGCTCTAAACCATCAAAGTAAAGCACACCTTCACGTAATGTTGAGAAATGTATTTTCAATACTGTAAATGTTTGTAACAGCCTTAAAATATATTTTTATAAAACAGACGTAAAATATATTTTTATCTTTAATTATAAAGTTTAAAATTTCATAAATAACGTGGATCGAACACATCTATGAAAATATTGAAATTTGACGGTCCAAATATAGGTTACAAGATACACTATTTTGAAAACTAGAAATCCATGTTTTTCTCAGGTCCATGCATCTTGATGTCGAGATGATCAATTTGAGGATATTTGAACATCAAAACCAACTCTTCTAGTGAAATTTTTGAGGTGGGCTCTAATTTAATTGTTTAGAGCCTCGACTGTATATAAACGTTTTCCTAATATTAGAGTAGAGTTGTAGATGAGTTGGAAAAATATGTAGTGCGCTTAACTTTCAACCTTCACACCTCTAATTTCCGCCATCTACTCATGATTCCTATAATTAATCAACTCATTTTCATCTAGATCTCTGCATCATTAAATAAAAAATTTCATCTAAAGGAGAAAAATATATAATTTATTTGGGGAAAGTTTGTGCACCCAAGAAACAGCGCTGTTGTCAAATGAAACAAAGAAAAGAATGCATATTAAGAATTACCCGAAGATATCATTCAGGGGTCAAAACTCATCGCAAATAGTAACGAGGCCAAAATGTTTCGATTTATTTTTTAGTTTTCATCTCATTCAGGTTTCTTCCTAATTATATATATATATTAAAAATGCCCTAATTCCTTTGTTTAGGGTTGGAAACCCTAAACAAGCATAAGCATTTTAATAATTTGATCCACCCTGAATAAGTAGGGATACTCCTGTCATTTGTTTTAGGCCTCTTAGGTAGGTCAACTTACTAAAATACCCAAAGCTTTCTAAATTGCCTGCCTGAAAGAATTAAATTTGTATTTTGCTAGAATTGAGCTGAGGTATCCACCTGAAATAATCAAAGTAAGCCGTCCATTCTGGCATTAGAAATCTCTTTGATGGACTAAAAATATATTGCCACTCCCAATCGTAAATCTTAAAGTTCCAAAATAGTTGAAACTCAAATTTTTAATAAATACTTGAAAATCTTAAAAGTGGACGGTCTAGATAACTTGTTTGGAACTTAAAATCCTTTGTTTCTTCATCAACGTGCTTGTGTGGACTTTTTCTTTCCCATTAAAATTTGCATCCCCAACAGGGCATCATATTGCCCCAATAGACACCAACTCGGGGAATAACTTATCTAGGGTTTGCAATGCGTCGGGTCGCTTTCAAGTCTAACCACACCTAGACCTGAAAAAATTTATGGGATCCGGACTCAATTAGACCTAGATCCAAATCCAGATCTAACCAGATCTGATTGGACCCTATCCAAAAATAAAAAAATATATATTTAAATTTATTTAAGTATTATATTAGATATATACAAGTACTATTTAATTATTTTAAGTAAAACATATAGTTTTATTTATTTAAATATCAATAAAATGTTATTAAAAATATATAATATCAAATATTACTTAGATAATTATTATTAGGCTTGGCATTATTTGAGTCGGAGCTGGGTCCTAACTGATCGTTCCAATAGAAAATTTTGACAGGATTGTTTGAATCCATCTTATCCAAATCCTCATACTTGTTTTGGAAACCAAAAAGCAGCACCTGCTCTACAAATCAATTTCCAAGACTTATAAAATTGGAATCTCAGTTTGACTGATGCAGTTAGCTAATTTATTTACATTTATTATTGGGTGCGGTTTGTATAGACCCGAGACTCTAAACAATCTTGTCGCGAAATATGATTTCTATATTGGAAATAATTATGATAGCCTTAAAATATATTTTCATATTTAATTAAAAATTTTAAAGAATAAAAAATAGTGTCGATAGCGTAGATCTACATAAATTTGAAAATCTCGAAAATTGACAGTCCAAAAATACGTTACAAGATACATTATTTTCAAAACGTAAAAGGCATTTTTTTCCTCATATCTATGCATCTTGATGACAAGATGATCAATTTGAGGATATTCGAGCATCAAAACTACCTCTTTTCATGAAAGTTTTTAGGAGGGCTCTAATTTGATTGTTTAGAGCCTTGGCTCTATAAAAACTTTTTCCATTAGAAAATATTTCATATTTTGAGAATTTTATTGTCAGGTCTAAAGTTGTTTTTTATTTTGATGTTTTATTTTATCTTTGTTTATAAGGTTCAAATTTAGAAACGACTTCTTTTCCCGTTTCCATGAAGAGAGGAGTTGAAGACTTGGCTTTTGATGATTTTCAATGACCTTTCTTTCTTTTTTTTTTCGTTTTTTTTTTTTACCATTAACAAAATTTGGTGACTTTTATTGACTTCCGATTATCTTTGAAATTTAGAGGCCAATGTGTTTGCCCACAAATAACACTATCGTAGATGGCACGAACAATCACCATCACATATGAGAATTGTAGATTAGTTAAAAGAATATGTCATGCGCATCAAATTTTCCCACATTGCTTCCATCATCTCTAACAATTGTTTCTTTTCTCATTAAACCTTCATGCATTAATTTCCGCAATCAACTCATAATTGTTATAATTACTAAAAGGCCTTTGCTTATTATTTGAGGGTTTCCAAATCAAGAGCAAATTGGGCATTCTTAAAGACATTATTTTAGGAGGATCATTAATTAATAGTGAGAAAATTTGAAGGAAACTTTATTAATTAAGATGTTTTGGCCCATTTAATGATTTTTGCAAGGGGTTAGGCCCTATTATATGGAATTTCCCAAATATTATGTGATTTTTCTAAGTGTTGTCAAGTTTTTCCCTCTAAATGTGGTAACCATTGTCCATTTGTGGTACTTTGCCTCCCCAATTGCCTGCCTATTAATGTGAAAGAATTAAATTTGTATTTTGCTAAAATTTCCTTGAGGTATCCATCTTAAATAATCCAAGAAGGCACACCTCTAAATCATGTCGAAAGATGGAGTTTCTATACATGAAGATAGGTACAATGCATTGATGTGATTCAGTAAAAAAATTTCCATGACAAATGCAGAAAGTCAGGTCCTCTTAAAACCATCTAAGAAAGAGAGACGTGTGGGTCCTCTCCATGTCAAGAGAGAACGACAACTGCATCTCCAAGTCATTGGAGAGAGAGAGGCAATTGTTTGCATTGACGACTGAGGCCATTCTATTCCATCCATAAAAAATTTTCTTTTGAAACAATGGCAGGAGCCATTTCTTCCACAAGCGGACCTCTAAGTTCGTTGTTTGATGTACAATATGTGGACTTTCTCCTCCCTGCAGCCCCAAAAGGGCTTTATATTGCCCTAATAGGCACCAACTTAAGAGATAACTTCTCATATAGGGGTGGCAACACGTCGAGTCTGGCCAAACCTAGACCCGACAAGACCCGTTTGGACCGACTAAAAAGAATATATATATATATATATATATATATATATAGGAAAAGTCTTTCCAACGTCTACAAGCAAAAATAAATAGTAATTTTGCCTACCCTTATCACTGTCCAAATTTCAACGTGCTGTCACGATTGTCCAGTAGTGTTTTATTTTTCATTTTTTTGTACAAATCAAAATGACTTGAAATTTGGAGGGTATGTATATCTTACTGAGGTTCATCTAATAAAAATATAAAAACATTTATCCGTAAAAAATTAATTGACCAAAATACCCCTGAAACGTTTCAAGGGTATTTTGATCAATTGTTTTCATGTAAAAATAATTTTTTAGAATTTTCGAAGATTTCAATATTTTTTATGAATACACGCTCCAAAATTCAAGTCATTCCAATTTGTAAAAAACAAATGAAAAATAAAACACTATTGGACAATCGTGACCAAGCGATGAACTTTGAACGGTGATGGGGGAGGCCAAATCACTGTTCATTTTCACCTATAGGCATTGCGTAGGGTTTTTCAGAGATATATATATATATATATATATATAAGAAAAAGCAGGGATTAGGCCACTAGCTCTGTGAACATATGAGCCCAACGGCCCAGAATTAATCTGGGCCGATTTGACGATCACGGATGTCTGATAATGTTTGAATTTAATTTTTTTTTTTACAAATCCGAATCACTTAAAATTTTAGGAGTGTATTCATCAAAAATAGTTGAATCTTTGAAAAATATTAAAAAAATATTTTACATTAAATACATTGACCAAAATGCCCCCAAAATGTTTTTGAAGGTATTTTGATCATTATTTATGCTAATAATTTTTTTTACATAATTTTATTAGGTGCGCCTTGATGAGAAGAACACACGCATAAATTTTCAAGTGATTTGGATTTGTAAAAAAAATTAAAATTAAAATTCAAACATTAAATGAGGTTGTTACCGTCAGTTCGGGCCAGATTCAATCTGGGTCGGTGGGCTTATATGTTCATATGAATTAGTGGGCTATAGGCCAATCTGACGATCACGGATATCTGGTAGCATTTGAATTTTATTTATTTTTCTACAAATCTATATCATTTGAAATTTTAGGTGTGTCTTCTTCTCATCAAGGCACACA